ACTTATACATCCCGCCATTGTGTTTTGTTCTATGATAATTTTTGTATTCTTGTCTTTCATATTTGCTAATGCTTTGTGTGTATGCCCTTTTGTGTTTCTTTGATACATAATGACGTGGCCCTTTTTAAGAAGAAATTCACAGTAAGCTTATAGACAAGCGGCAAGAAGGACAAGGGAAACTTCTAATTTAGATTCTGCAGAGGATATGCCTAAAAGAACTATAGACTATATTCTGTTCATTCTTTGAACGACAAAGTTATGTTATTTCTACCTGTGTGACGTTTACATGCTGATCAACTGATGTACGTCAAACGCACGATTCTACGTCAGTTTTAACGTTAACCTAACCATGTGCCTGTCAGGGTTAGGATTCGGTCCCAGTACTTAAAATCTTTCAATCCTTTATGGGTGGATTTAACATAGATAAATAAAATCGTATAATAAAAAAGAAATGAATGAGGTTGTTAAATTTGATATATGCCTTTTTGTGCTTCTTTGTTACATATTTGTTTGTTTTTATAGTGATTAAGTAGTTTTCAAAGGTACCAGGTTTATAATTTGATACGCCAGACGCGCGTTTCGTCTACATAAGACTCATCAGTGACGCTCAGATCAAAATAGATAGAAAGCCAAACAAGTATAAAGTTGGAAGAGCATTGAGGACCCAAAATTCCAAAAAATTGTGCCAAATACGACTAAGGTAATCTATGCCTGGGATTAGAAATTCCTTAGTATTTCGAATAATTTATACTTTTGCAAACAGTTAATTTATAAAAATGACCATATAATTGATATTCATGTCAACACCGAAGATTATAACACAATGCTGACTGCTGTACCCCTATTTTTGACATTTTTACCTATTATATCTGTTTGTTTTGTTCACGCATCGTTGTCAATATAATGGAATTTGATGCGACTGTCATAAAACCAGGTTCAATCCACCATTTTCTACATAAGAAAATGCATGTACCAAGTCAGGAATATGACAGTTGTTATCCTTTCGTTTGATGTGTTTGAGCTTTTGGTTTTGCCATTTGATTAGGGACTTTCTGTTTTGAATTTTACTCGGAGTTCAGTATTTTTGTGATTTTACTTTTTATTTGTGGAGAGAAATGCAACCCTAGTTACATAAGATTTGAGACGAACACACCTTCCAAGAGCGGAGTTAGAATTCAAACCTAAGTGTTGACATACTAGTGATACAGTAGATGAACTTCTTAGACCACTCGACCACCGAGGCCCTCCATTTGAAGCAGAAATAGACGACAGAGTAAAATGTTGTAATACATAAGGTATTTCATTTAATGAATACAAAATAAATTGAAAAACATATATAACAAATATGCTCATAGTAGCATACTCAAATTTTCGTTCACGTCATTTGTTATTGATGTTGTCTTTTCGTTGTTTTATTTCCCCAAAAGAAGTTTTCTATTCTTATTTTTCACCGAGGTTTCTTCTTCTTTCTACCTGTAATTTCAATCGTTGTTCTAAGGCGAAACAAAAAAGAGAGGCTGAAATGTCGATTCAAAAACAAATTGGTAAAATGTATAACCACCATTGTTACAGTATTATTAGTATTGTGACTGTACATTTACAATAAATCAGTCATGTAAATTGTTCAAAACTGAAGTTACAACTCAAAAAGAGAGGCGAAAGACACCAGAGAGACTTTCAAACTCATAAGTCGAAAATAAACTCACAACGCCATGTCTAAAAAAGAAAAAGACCAACAGACAAAAAATAGCACACAAAACACAATATAGAAAACTAAAGACTGAGCAACACGAACACAACCAAAAAGTGGGGGTGATCTCGGGTGCTCCTGAAGGAAAAGCAAATCCTGCTCCACATGTGGCACCCGTCAAAGGAAGTTGAACATCGATGGATGTTGGTGTTCAATTTCTCGCTTTTTTTGCATTTGGTTTGAAAACGTTTCGTCTTTGAAACATCAGATGAGTGCCATTCCATACATTCGTGTCCTGAAAACAACTTTTTTGTTCATGTATTTGCAATTTGTTATTAACAATTGTTAGCAATCTGGAAATCTTTGGATGAAATGCAGAACAATTATCAAATTTCACCAAATTTTCAACAGTTTTCAATAAGGTTATCAATGTATTAATTTTAATGTGGTTAATAAATTCAAACATTTATTGAACATTGTTGAACTACGATATGTGTATAGCCTTAATTGAATATATAGTTTTTTTCAAGATCAAATTTTTAAAACCAATCTTTGCAAATCTATCCATACACCTTTTCTTTCAAAAGAGCTTCTGAGGCTTTAAACAAATCATCAATCCAAATCTGAAGAATGAATGATTTGAACTGGATTCTAACGAATATTAAGGGAACAACCAAACGGGGACAAACACGTACCTAAAACGCAATTATTAAATACTTCTGATAGCATACAGTAATCATGAGTAAATGTTTACGAACACCATTATGATTTATTTGATTATTTTAGAACAAATAATTTACAGATGACCACGTAAAAAAATATTTTAAAAAATAAGACAGTCAAAGAATGCAGGCTATCAACATATTATATCTTGAAATAATCATCATCGCGAGTGCTACCAGAAAAAAAAAATATGCGTATCCCTCCAAATCACACGAGTTTACCAAGGTTCAAATAAGTTTTTGGTGAGCTTTTTTTTTGTCCGGTTGCCATTCTATTTTTTTTCTTTTTTTTTTTTTTTTTGCCTTGTTGTTTGACATACTTTGGTTTTTGTTATCGCTTTGGGGTTCGACTTATGGATTTTGATTGTCCCTTCTCCGTGTTTTATATGATTACATATACTACAGTAGTCCTCCGTGTGGTTGTTTCAATTTATAACGTGGTTTTACACTAACCCCCTATTTGAGGTTTTTCGGCTTGCCTTCGTTTGTTTTGGTGTGCTTTTTAAAACAGAATCCATATTATTATTTTTTTTTTATTGCCATTTCTTCTTTCAGGTTGAAGATGTTTTAATGAACTTAATATTGATGAAATATCTTCGTTTGCAGTGTATATTTCATTTATACTTGATTAGGTTCCGAAGCCATGTATACCTCTATGTTAATGAACATATTATTTGTTTACTCATGGTTTTTTTTAAGGTGTTACTAATGTTTACTTCCAATCTTCCATTGATAAATACTAATATGTTTCAAGCGACTGCATGGTAACAATAATCAACTTTTAACTACATGAAGCAAAAGTAAACTGTTTTGGTCTTTGGTATTTAATATTGACAGGTTAATTTTTAAATTCACTTCTAGATCATAGAACTATTAATATTTAATTTCCACATATAAAAAGAGATATGATTAGGGTTTGTGTACTATAAGTTTATAAAAGTTTAAAGTTGCAAAAATGAGGCTGGAGATACATAAGGGAGAATCAAAACTCATGAATAGAAGGCCGGACAAAAGCATGGTGAAAAACGCAAAAACAAGGAACATCCAAACTGCAGTTTACAAAACAAAATATAATTTAGCCAACACGAAGCCAACCGAAATCTGTGAATATTATCGGGTGTTCTGCTCCAAATCCAAAATCGGCCACCAAAACAAAATATAATTTAGCCAACACGAAGCCAACCGAAAGCTGTGAATTCTGCTCCACATATGGCTCCTGGTACAAATACAGTCAATGATGTGACAATTTATGTAAAGGGGGGGGGGGGGGGGGGGTGATATGCTACGACAATAAGAGACATACCTGTGGTCATCTATGACACAGATAATCAATAACCGTCAACCAACAGACCTTTCATAAACCTCATTCAATGTTGAGAATGTGCATACCCTAAAAATGAAACATAGAGGGCAAAAGAAATGTTTTCCGCATGTCTTCCTATTGTCTCAGATAATGGGCTGATATGAATTTTAAGAAAAGCAAGAAAATACAGTAGATTTACATTGAGACAAGAGGTCGTGGTTGAATATAACAACATCACGAGTATTACATGTACTATTAAAAACCCGTATGTCAACTGTCACGATTACCCTTCGAAAGTCGCAGATGATATTGTAGGAAAAGAGATAAAGGTATCAAAAAACTATTATGTATTTCTCACTGATGAATTGTTGACACAGAAATACATTTAAAAAGACAACTTTTTTTATGAAAAATTATGTTAATCACATTTTTTTTTAAATTGTTACTTCGATGCCATTAATACTATATATAAAGAATGATGTTCACAACAGTTTGAAGTGGATTCTAAGGTTGGAAATTTCTGATTTCCAGTGTTAGCAAGTATCAACTATTTTTCAAAATTATCAGTTCCAAAAAATTCTAAAACAACAGAAGTTTTTACGTTTTTGATGCTTTAAAAGGGTCATTATATTGTGATTGCAATTATTCATCATTATTGTGTCATGTGAAGGTAAACTGGAAGAAATATATTATAATCACATATTGTATTTAGAATTTATGACTTATAGGGATATTAGAGTCATTGCCTTTAAGTGCAAAACATTCTTTTTTCAGAAATGCACTGATTAATTCAAAAAGACATACCAAAGGAGATTGCACAAGATTATTTGGAAAAAGAAGAACTTATGTCTTCAATATGAGTCAATATCTCAAACGCAACTTCGATTGAGGAACACAACAATAAATAGATACGAACAGAGCCATCATACATATCCAAGTGTACGATGTGGACAGAAGAATGGACGAAAAGGCTACCATCGTTCCCTAGCTGCAATGAAATATTCATATTAACCCATATGGATGAATTCTTTTGTATTCTATGGTTGCCGGCGACAGCAACAACGACCATCACATCACACTTTATGTTAATCTGATTCTCATTGAAACAGAAAATTAAAAAAAATTTACACATGGTTTTTTCTACAAAACATGACTTTGAGCACTTACAACTTTTATTTTTGACTTTTAAGTGATTTTTGTATTTTCCAAAAAGTGATGAGACAGTTGAAGGTATTGACAAAGATATGAATAGATCTTTCAAAAACGTTCAACACTGAAAACTAGCTAGTGTTTGTTTGGATGATTTATTTTCTATTTCACGAACAAACAACAATAGCCTGGTCTCCTAATGGGGACTTCATGACAAAACATGCACATAATGTACCAAGCATGTCTTCCATATCGCCTACACAGCTTCCATCAGGGTTCATACATTCTGCAAGATAAAAAAGATAAAATAGCATTCAAATTATCATAAATCTCTAGTCTATTCTGTCAAATAAATGGTATTAAGTCTAACGTTTGACATTGTAGGTTTTTATGGACATCCCCCTTTTTGAATGTACCTATGCGTTTTGTATTTTTGGTGTACCTATATGTTAATATTGTATGCCAGAGGTCTTTAGCTGATTGAAGATGAATAACAAAATACATGTATTTGAAAATCGGGGGTGGGAGGTGGGGGGAGTTGATAGTATTGATTAATCAAACCTTATATTTGTGTTACTCTCTCTATGACCCATACACCCATGACGTATGGATGACGCGTACACCCAATCTCCTTTTATTCATATTGGTATTATATGTTAGTTCTTTCAAATTATTGTTAAACCATTTGTTCAAATACTCTAACTGATTATAGATCGAGATTGAGATTTATTCTAATATGACATTATTCGAAAGTTTTGAATACACGGCCGTGTTAAAAAATATGAATATATTGTATTTCAGCTGATCGGCAACGTCATAATTTGTTTGGGCTGATCCATGAACGATCATGTAGGAATTTGGGCAATCTACTCATGAGAAAATGAACAATGTGAAACTGAATGTCATCAAAACACGGAAACAAAAACAAACGATGATAAAAATTTGTTAAAAGCCAATTTTCTTTTAAAAAAGGAAACTAATCACTTAACTCTGTCCAAACCTGTCTAAGTATGTTATTGCAAATCGTTTAAGCATGTCATTAAATCAGTTGTCTCTTCGTTTTTATGTCATTATTAATAGTTTGTTTAATTACGGGAACAGTAAATATTTGCCTTCACCTAGAGCGCTTCGATCTAAAAGAATTGCCATATTTTACCACGGGTTTGTCCTTTATGCCGATACTTCACCCCTCGATTTTGTTCGTGATAAAACATTTAGCATAGAGGCAACTATGAATTACTTCTATTCTACTAGCACAAATACGTCAATTCTTTTGGATGGAAGCGCTTTAGATGAGGGCAAACATTTGTTGTTCCCGTCTATTTATTCCTTATATTTAAAACATGATGTATCTAAAAGCGTTGAATATACAATTATTCAGTATTGAATACCTTTTCAATTATATACAAGAAATTCAGTAAATATTTCTGATGTTTAATGGGTAAAATTGTAAGAAATATATTTCAGCATGCGAACAATCATGCATAAATCCAAAAAAATAATGTCAACGTAAGCAAGTGCAAATAATCAGTTCTACAATAGTTTTTAATACATACTTGCTTCCACAACTTTAGTAGAATAGCCGCTACAAGCCATACGAATACAATCGTCTGTCCATTCGTCACCGGATTTTTTACATTCGTCTTTATAACTACAACCATTAGGCAAGCAGTTACCTCTGTAGTCTCCACAGCCTGAACATGCACCATTTTGGCATGGTCGACAAACTATAAAATGATAATGCAGTATTCATATCTTTATGATGCAGATTTAATGTACAGCAACGCTCGCTTTACTGTTCAACTGCGTACTTTATTTGACCTTTAAACTTTTATTATTCAAGCGTCACTGATAAGTCTTTTGCACACGAAACGGGCGCCTGGCGTACACAATTATAAGCCTGGTATCTTTGATTAGTTTCTTTTCTGAACAATTCAACCATCACTTAAACAAAAGACTACCAAGCGGTACAGTACATTTAAATCTTTAGAGGGTTTCTGAATGACTTTATTTCAGTGGTTCTTTTAATATATGTTCTAAAATCTCAATGTAAACGTGATAAAGTCATCATTTGTGCAAACATCTAATTTTTTAACATTGTAAAAACAAATTATCACATTGATTTAAGTTATAATTAGGTATAATTTATGTATCGCAATAATCAGCATTAATCATTTATTAACATTTATTATGTAAATAGTTTATCAATTGGAGCAATGTTTTGATTTTTATCATTGTTGCGCATTCAATTATTTTCAAAATCCATGTTTATTGGAAGGGCAGTAATCCAGTAAGTATTTTTTTAGAAAAAATAATTGCACATTTTGTTTCTATTTTAAAAACACCTATGTTTGTCTATTTGCGTTGAAAAGTACATAATATTGTAAAATATTAAGGACAGTCGTCTATCTTACCACTAGGAATCAATGGTTGTGACCTTGAAAGCACTTCGGGCACAATTACTGCAACCAAAACAGCCAACAAAACAAAGTAATCCATCTAAAATATTAAATGTATTTGTTTGAGCAAGTCATCATACTTTAATTGCAGTTTTGTTTTTCAAATTATAAAAAAAATAGATGTATGTTTTTAAAATATTCTGGTTTTATTCTATGATAGGTATAATGCATTGCAGTATTTTATCGGGAGGTTTGGCTAGCAATAAAACCAGGTTCAATCCACCATTTTTTCTTAAAATGTCCTGTTCCAAGTCAGGAATATGGCAGTTGTTATCAAATAGTCTGTTTCTATGTATGTTGGCGTTTGTTTTTGTTGCAGTTCAGTGTTTCTGTTGTTCCGTTGTTTTCCTCTTATAGTTGATGTGTTTCCCTCGATTTTAGTTTGCAATCCGGATTTGTTTTCGCTTAACCGATTTATGACTACTGAACAGCGGTATACTGCTGTTGCCTTTATTTGTTCCTCTATCGTCTTATTTGCCTTGAAATATCAACATCTACAAAATGCACATATTTCAATTTGCATAACAGCTTGTCCATTTGGACATACCAATATCAAATTTGTAAAACTTTCTTTGAAAAAATGACCCAAATGACGCTTGATCTTTTAAAAAAAAGATGCATTAAGATAAAATATTTAAAAACAAGTAATTGTAAACAGAACATTAATGCAGATATACAGGATCTTTTATTGTATTCGATTTCATACAACTGATTTGAGGAAAAGTATATAAGTCATATGATCGATACTTAAAATAAAAAAAAAATCGATGATAGTTGATACTTGAATTGCTAAGTTTTACTTTCAAGCAAGTTTACAACGACTTTCTTTAAATGGAAATACTCTATTTTATCAAAATCTTCAGAAATGTACTGGTTTTGAACTATTGTCTTCCTGTATTCTAATTCGTAGACATATTTCCCGTTTGTCGTTACCTTAACCATTACACCATGGTTAGAAATCAGACAATCACAGCGCAAATGTGGTGTGGATAGAAAAACTGTGAAAAAAGAAAAGTAAACAATCGTGGAAGAGATTTAGTATTAACCTATTCAGGAAGAAATCTTTAACGTACGCATAATCAATTAAAAACTGTTATGGAGAATTTAAATAAACAAATGAGAACGCATGAAAATCTATTAAAGGCTATGAAGCAAAAAATTCTTGTTGACTGTTACCACAAAATAAGCCTGTGCCGAAAGTTTTGGCAGCTTTTCCTTAAATACAAAATATAAAAAAAAATGACATCTGACAGAATAATTGTTGCTGGTCATTTTGATTACAAATAAAAAAACATCAAATAAAAAAATTAAAAAATTTGCTCGATTAAAAACAATACACATTTAGAACAAGCTGGAAAATTAAGATGGAAAGGGTTTGATTTATTAGATTTGTAGACAGCACAAAAACACTCCTAAAAGGATATAAAACACAAAGTAATGATCCAATTAAGGGTACATGCAGTTATTGAGCTAAATTTCACGTAATAAAGTTACCAAAGACTTCCCACACAATAATGCAAGATAGGTATTTTACAGTTTTTTTCTTGGTAAAGCTAAATACACATGGAATTGGAGCCACAGCTATTAAGGTCATGAAGCAAAATATTCTAACGGACTATTGCCTCCAAATGAGGCTATGCTGAAAGTTTTTGCAGTTTTTCCCTTAAATACAAAATACCAAAAAAACTTGAAATCTGACAGAATAATTTTGATTCATCCCATTTTGATGTCGGAAAAAAAGATTATATTGTCTTTTATACGCATACATGTGTACGCCATATATTTCATAGTTTTCACTTACTGACTACTACAATTAAAAAAACGACAAATACAAAAAAATAATTTCTGTTACTTCACATACCTTCAGCAGTTTATTCTGTATTCTTCTCCGACTTACAGACAGGACATTTTCACACAAGCCTTTTATATCAAATGTGACAGGATATAAAATGTCACCATTAACCATAATTACAGAAATTATTCTGTTTTTTTTTTTTTTTGTCAAAATCAATTGCATTACAAAATATCCCCAAGTACATAATCTGATCTTAATATGTTGAAAAACAACCCAAAGTGCTGATATTAACAATAATGAATATGGCAAAAGGATTCAAATATGAATGAAGGGGATATCCATGTGAGCTATATGTCAATGCGAATGTAACCAAATAACAAAAACAAACAGACGTACTTGATGTTAGTCCGAAACAAAAGATAAGTGTTCCAATGGACTAATGTGCCCAACCTTATTTATCAACCTTATGAACACGATCGTAATTCTAATTATATTGCAAAGGGTCCATTGCAATAAAGCAAAGAACTTTATAAACTGTGAGAAAAATTAATCGGGAAGATAGATCATTCTCTAAATACATTATGGTGGTATCAATTAATAAAATTTCTTTAGCAAATATCTTATATTTGGCTGTATTCCACATTTTAAAATCATAAATGTAATATATAAAGGGCAAAATTATGAAATTTGATTATGGAAAATACTCAATGTATTGTACAGAACAATAGATATTTATATAATCCTATAAAAAAAGGGGGAGATGAGGCATGATTGTTAGTAGATATAAGCAATTATAGGTGGTCACAGTACGGCATTCAACAATGAGAAAAACCCATACCGTTTGATCGGTTTTAAAAGGCCCCGACATGACAAATGTGAAACAATCTAAATGATAAAACTAACCGCTTAACTTATAACAAAACAATTTACGAAAACCAAGTATGACACACATGAACCAGCGACCACAACTGGACCATAGGCTTGAGATAGGCACATACAGAATGATGCGGGGTTAAATATGTTTGTGAGCGCTCGATTCCCATCCCCCTTAACATAGGACAATGATGTAACAGCACAACATAAAAACAAACAAAATCACCGATATAAGAGTTTTCTCAGTGACTGAAAACTAGTCCAAAGTAAATTACAACTAATAAATAAATCATGTTCTCCCAGACTAAAGTATCATTCAGTACGCATCCAACGAATTTAGTGTAACGAGGTCATAAACTGTCCGTGAATTGCATGATCTTGTGCAATGCCAAAATAATAGTAAACATTATCGATCATGTCGACAGGATGTAGGATCATGAGTTTTCTTAACTGTACATATATAGCTATATATATATTGTTATGTTTTAATTTTTTTTCAATAACAAAATCAATGTTAGTCCGATAAAAACAATATTTAAAGATTTACTATGGTGTTGTATTGATAACGTTTAAGAATAAATTTATTCAAAGGATCGGTAAGTTTGTAAAATTGGTATCTAAAATTACGGGCTCTATGAACAACATCGTAGTAAACAATAGGATGTATTATCCCGTTTTTGATAAGAATTCTACAAATATTTGTATATATGAAAACTTTGGTAATGGTTTTAATAATTTTGTGGTACCAAACCCCTCAAAGTTTATCAATTATACATGAATTACGTTCATTGATATTTTAAAAGAAGACTATACACACGCGCATAGCGAACAGCTTGTGAAATATACAAGTAAGAAAGGGACAAAGGAACATCACCATCCAAAAAAAGGAATATTAACATATTTCACTGTTACAGAAGACGACTTTATATGAGTTGTAGCAAATAAATCTGTAGCCAGATTTTGCAAAGACCATTTAATTGAATAAGAGATGTTCTGTTTGATAAGATTACGTGGTAGTGTGGTATAGTTTTGAAAAACCATAACTGTAATCGAATTAATCTGACCATCAAAACCACGTAATTTATCAATACCATCTAATGAGATTTTGGCACTCCAATAAAAGCAACAATAGTATACCCCTGTTCAAAAGTCATAAATCGATTGAGAGAAAACAAATCCGGGTTACAAACTAAAACCGAGGGATACACATCAACTATAAGAGGAAAACAACGAAACAACAGAAACACTGAAGTGCAACAAAAATAAAACAAACAAAAAAACGACAATGCAACATACATAAAAACGAACTATTAGATAACAACTGTCATATTCCTGACTTGGTACAATAGTTAATAGTTAATTCCATTATTCGCATATGCTTTATTACAAGAATTAATCACAAGTCCTTTTATAGAAGTAAGGAAACAGGTGAACAGCACAGAAAGATTAGTCAAGAAACACTTACTAGAAGCCGATGTGAAACGGAATGTGTTATTATAGGAAGCCAATACATAATAGGGACCTTCAAATTTTCAAAGAAGGCCTTAATCTGAGCTGTGGTAGTGACGTGATTATATACTTTATCGCACCTCGGATAAATAGTGCCGTTGTGATTGGTGTAACCCCGTTACGTGGTGACCCCATGGATCCGTATGGGGTTAGTAGATTTCATATAGGGTTCATGACGTCACGTCTACTATTAATGGTGACGTCAGCTATTAATGTTATTTATTCATTGTTTATTTTTATACAAAACTTGACAGGAAAAGTCCCGTGTGTGATATTCGTTATACGATTCACTACTGACCCCTTACAGATTCATAGAGGGTTAGTAAAATCCATACGGGTGAGGCCGAAGGCCGAATCTCCTATGGATTTTACTAACCCTCTAAGGATCCGTAGAGGGCCAGTAGTGAACCATATAACTTATAATGTGACTCTCTTTGTAGCACACCACCTTGAATGTAGATACATAAAGGTATAATTTCTTTCTTAAGAACTTCCGTGTAGTATTCACGTCATACCATTACCTAAGTTTTGGCTGTTTTGTCTGCCGAAGCGAACATAAAATAATCTAAATACATATTTTGGTCCTTTTAGGAAAGTTGATAAACATCGGTCTTGAACGATGTTGAGGGCCCTTATAAGTACATGGCCAAATAGATAATATTTAAACTTTGATGATTCACAGTCCCATCTTGTAGGAGAATTGTTTTATATACTGACATCTGATATAAATTAAACTTCTACTTGGTTTTTAATAGTATAAGAAACTATAGGTGGCTCTATGTGATAAAAATATGGAGGTATAAAGTTATGAACGGTAGGGTCAGTAAAAATACTTGACAAACTGAAAAAATCAATACCTCTGTTAATGTAATTTATTGTAGGAAAATACCTTTTATAATCTCAGGTTTGTCAATACGAGGGATTCTGTATTCTGCAATTTGCAACATGATTCGGTATGAAACCTGTTCAGACGAACCATAGATGATATAACATGTAAATAATCCGAATACATGTTGTTGGTATCAACTGACATTTGCATAATTGTCACAGACTTAGGTACAGTTTCAATAGTTTTATTTTTCATGTAGCTTAGGTAAAAGCAATATTAATGAAATTGGTTTCTGCGTATATTTTTCTCCGTAACTTCTGAGCAAGATAACAGGGCAGATGGTTCACAGGTAGAGGTAAACATGGTTAACTTAAAACGTGTTCATCTCTTGGCCTGTTATCGAGGATTCTTCATTAATGATTGAAGATGATCCTAAATTTGAATTTCAATTTGGGAACAAAAATACCGAACTCTAAGGCACATTCAAAAAGGAGAAGACCACAAAAACTTACACAATCAAACGCTATCAATCGACGGAACAAGTGAAAAACAACTGCAATATTCCTGACTTGGTACAGGCATTTTCCGAGGAAAATGGTGGATTAAACCTGGTTTTATTGCTTACTAAACCTCCCACTTGTATGACAGTTGTTTATAGTTCCGTTATATTGATAAAATTGAGTAAGCAACCCAATCAGACATAATAGGTTAATGTGACAATAATTAGGATCCAGCAGCCAAATCTGTGTAAGCATACAAAATAATCTAGCAAACACGACAACAAAAAAGGTGTAGTATATAGTAATAAATTGATTATATATAAAAAAAGAAGATGTGGTATGATTGCCAATGAGACAACTCTCCACAAGAGACCAAATGACACAGAAATTAACAACTATAGGTCACCATACGGCCTTCAACAATGAGCAAAGCCCATACCGCATTGTTAGCTATAAAAGGCCCCGAAATGACAAAACTAGAAAACTAACGGCCTAATTTATGTACAAAATAATGAACGAAAAACAAATATGTAACACAGCAACACACGACAACCACTGAATTACAGGCTCCTGAGGATTAAAATTTTGTAAGCCAGACGCGCGTTTCGTCTACAAATGTCTCATCACTGACGTAAATTTGACAATGCGTCACAAAAAAGTTGTTGTCGTTGATAGTACATACCGTATATAGTATACACTTTCTCGATAAAGTAAAAATTGAGTAAATATAAATACAAGTGTAATCAAAATAGAAATAACACGTAGAAAAATCCTTTGTGTCCGAATCGCTCCTCAGGACCCACCTGCACCAGTAATGTCTAAAGTAAAAAAAACCCGATGGCGGGATGCCTAAATACCGGGTAACGTCAAAAGTCGGGTTACGTTTGTTTCGAACCAAAGAACCCGGATATAACCAAGGTTCAGAACCAAAGGATCCGGATGGAACCAATGTTTAGAACCAGAGTGCCCGGATAGAACCTAATTGCATTCGGATATATCATGACTTTTTATACCTTTAACGTATTTTCTAAATCATTTATTTATTTAGTATATTTATATATAATTAAGATTATATTACAATGTTGACTGCTGTACCCCAATTTCTGAAGTTTCTACCTATTATGTCTGTTTGTTTTGCTCACACATTGTTGTCAATATAATGGAATTATATGCGACTGTCATACAAGTGAGAGGTTTAGCTAGCTATAAAACATTTACATAAGGAAATGCCTGTACCAAGTCAGGAATATGACAGTTGTTTTCCTTTCGTTACAATGTAGATGTGTTTGAGCTTTTAATTTTGCCATTTTATAAAGGATTTTCCGTTTTGAATTTCCCTTGGAGTTCGGTATTTTTGTTACTTTACTTTATACTGTGACATGTATGGACGCAGTTAAATTATTATTGTTCTGTTATTTTAAA